GTCTGAGGGAAAAGAGACTATTTTCTTACAATTTAGTTTATATCTTGCAATTCTGAGAAAAAAAGTCAGAATTGGCAGATGTAAGATTGCAATTGCAAAAAAAAAAAAAAAAGTCAGAATTGTGAGATAAAAAGTCGCAATTACCTTGTTTTATTTTTTATTCAGTGGCGGAAACAGGCTTCCATAAATAATCAACTTTGAAGCAAGCGCCAATGATTATGCAAACATGATGTCTCTTCTTTTGTGTGTGTTCGTAGTCGTCACAGTGCTAAATGTGCAACAATCGTGTTATTACTTTACTCCATTCCTTTTTCTTGCAAAAAAGGAGACTCTGCACACCTTAAAGGGGTTAATAATGTTCTTTTTAGCAACATCATATGACCCCTTTAAAGTGGCGATGAAATACAGCATGTCGCATGTAAAGCTGCGACCAACACAAAGGCAGGAGGAGCTCTTACATGTGTCAAGCACGTCGCATGGAAATAATTGGGCTGCTAATACTGGCTGGAGTCCTTTAATGCCGCAGCAGGTTTGGAGGCATTAATGCGGCTCCGTCACGCTGCGTTTCCACAGAATTGCAGCTCTCTTTATAGTCGCAACGTTTAAAAAGTGTAAATATGTAAGTATAAAATGGTTAGTTGAATAAAGGCCACGTTCACACTGCAGATTGATACGGGTGTCACTCCTCTTCACCAACATTGCAAAATAATCCTTTTCTTTCTCAGTATTTTTGTCGTTTTCCAGTAGAGTAAAAGAATCAAACTACTAAGATATTAAGTTTTGTTTTCTGAAAAATTTATCAAAATTGAGCTCATACTTAAAAACAAGAACAAAAATGGAAGCTTGTTTCCATCATAGAATAAAAACGTAAAAAATGTAATTGCACATTTTTTATCTCAATTTTCTGCCAATTCTGATTAAAAAAAGTCAAAATCGCCAGAAACTCAGAATTCTGTCTCACTCACAATTCTGACTTTTATATTTTAGTTTATATTTATAATATATACTCTTATAGTTTATATCTCATAATTGCCTGTTTTATTTTTTTTATATCCCGTGGCGAAAACAAGCTTACATAAAAATACCAACCAATGAGGTAAGAAAAATTAAAATTTAATTTAAAAGTAAAGTTTTAAGCAAAAACCATTTTGATAATTTCTAATTTTTAAAAAAATAATTTTTCAGAAAACAATATTTAATATCATATCTTTATGCACCTCAAATAAATCTATCTTGATTTAAGAATGTTAAGAATATATGCACTGGAAAACAAGACAAAAATACTGAGGAAGAAAATCTTTTTTGTGTGTTTTATAGCATTGAATTCACTGATATGCACCACTTTTGTGCACCGTATTTTAGTGCATGTTTCCTGTTATTTCATCTGCATTATTCCTTTAGTGAATTGGGTGCTAAAATACATTAATGTCTTTATTTATTAACATTTTTTTTGTCTGAAGCAGCAAACACGAACGGGTTAGACTGCTAATAATCATGTTTCTAGTTTATGAGACGCCAAATTGTTGCTTAAATTCATTACGAGTGATGAACAGGTTATGCAGTGTGTACGTGGCCTGACCGAATTTACAGGTGCAAAACACGACCTTTTATAAGCTGGAATGTTGCACAAACATGTTGAAAAGTGCATTCGCAGTAAGCGTTGACCTTTTAAAGTCCATAAACATCATTGCTCTTTAACTAGTCCTCTGACTGTTAGTCACACCATTATGACTAAAGCTGAATCAAGAAGTTCATTTTGCACAAATATGAATAATAAAAAAAAAAAGAATCATGTCTGGATTTTTACCATATAATAACTGCAAAGGCATGATGTGTCACTGGACGTCATGCACGTCTGTACACATTCCATTCGCTTCTGATTTACCGTATTGTCCCGAATATAAGACGATGTTTTTTTCTTGGAAATACATCTGAAAAAACGCGGTCGTCTTATATTCAGGGTCTAGACTTTGACATGTCAATAATACACCCACAACAATAGGTGGCGCCAAATACGCATAAAACGAGTGTGCCATGAAATACGTAATGTAATGCGTGTTGTAAAGATCGCGAGTTAAAACAAAAGAAAAAGAAAACCTGACAGCTGCATGAGTCGTGACTGTCACGTTAGCCTGATGGGACCAACTCTACTTCTACTGTTAATAAGATTTTGGTAGGCTACTATTAGATGGATAGCCTAAATGTCCTAATTCAGATGGGCTACCTGTTTTTTTTTTTTAATGGTATATCAAAAAGTGTGTATTTTTTAAATGTGATTGTTGGTACATTTTACCAATTTTTACCATACTTTCAAAACAAAAATTAAAATGGGACAAATATGCAATATGAAAATAATTGAAGACAAAATGTGTTTTTAAAAAGCCTTTTTCCAAAAGGTACATCTGGAAAAAGGGGGGTCGTCTTATAATCAGGTTCGTCTTATATTCGGGCCAATACGGTATTAAATAATCTGTTGCTAAACAGGTGTGTTACTGTACAAATCTGAACTCATTTTACTTCTTTATTCGATCCATGTTAACAGTGCAGAGCCAAACATTGCTATTGTTCAATTAGCTCTTGCACTTATAGAAAGCAAAATTCATTGATATTTTACAACAAACTGACAAAAAGAGAAAATACCGTACACAAATGGAGATTATATTATTATGTTGAACGTCTGTTGTACAGAAACCAAATGGACGGACATGAACAGGAAGAGTATTAGTATTCAGATACGCAGGCCAGGAGAGTAGTGCACTTTGGGAAGGTTCTCCACTCCATCTCGAAAAGATGTTTGAGAAATGCATTAGCTTCATCAACAGCACTTCACTTTGAAATGCTAAAGGTCTGTTCACACATAATGCATTCTTGCATTTATAAACAGCTAGAAAAGACGCTTTAAACTTGTTTTTATCCTTATGTTGTTAACCTGCTTTTCTTGAAACTGTGATTTTTCTCTCATTTAGGGTCATGAACATGTACGCAAAGTTTTGACACTGGTGTGTTTTGGAATGTGTACAAAATTTTTCTGTTTCAAAAACTTTTCAATTTAACACATTTCAATTTTAATCCATTTCATGGTTAAAAGCAGGTGCTCAGACCTAAAATAAAAATAAATCTGTATTTTGTTTGGTATTTGCATTTATTATGCATTTGGCAGATGCTTTTACTTAAGAAACGTACGCTGCGTTGAAGGCGTACATTTTTATTAGTTAATGAATATGACTTTTGTTGGCAATCGAACCCATGATCCTGCTGTTGGAAGTGGCATGCTTCTAAAATTTGAGCTTTAGGAACGTATACACAACAATACAAAAAATTAAAATAGAAAATAAATAAAATTATAAGTGTAAAAAAACAAAACAAAAAACAATCATATGTTCTCGTGAACTTTTTCATAATGCATGAGAACTTAATTTTAAAGGTTTACTGTTTTGACCTGATTTTGTTTTTCATAAAATGATTTTTTTGTGTGTGTGAATAGTATTGAATCTAATTCGGAGAATCTAAAGTAGTCCTGTAGCTTAAATAGTAGTACAAACAACGACAAGGTCATGGGTTCGATGTATACTTTGTAAATGTATACTTTGAATGCAATGTACTTTACTTTGGATAAAAGCACCTGCAAAATGCATAAACAAAAAAATGTAGCGCTCATGCAACAAAATACAGAGATGTCCATCTAGCACAGACAGACAATTAAAAAAAAAAAAACAGCACGTCCTGTGCGAACATCCTCTAACAGTTCAAAGTAAAGTTTGGGGTGTTTTAATGATCAGTTAGTGAGTGCAATTCGTTCTAAGATTGTCATGGGCCTTCGGATGGAACAGTGAAAACAGATTCATTTCCAAATGTGGACGAGTGAATTTCTTTCTCATGCACAGTAGCACCAGTGCAAGCGTATTGCCTGTATTTAACACTCAACGCACATGTAAACACACACAGATGTGCACGAGACTCGCAGTTATCTGCCGTTAGTGATGGTGTTCATTGCTTTAGCGCAGTCCCTGCAGTGAGTGAATGTGCACCATCAGGCTGCAACCGCATCGTCAGTGCGATTATCGTTATTTCTAGGGATGCACCGATATGAAATTTCTTAGCTCATACAATAGCCGATTATTCCGAATATCTGCCGATATCGATAATGATTATTCAGAATGATATCTGCCAATACCAATAACCAATTATTCAGAATGATATCTGCCGATACGATAACCGATTATTCAGAATGATATCTGCCGATACCAATACTGATAGCTGATTATTCGGAATGATATCTGTGTATACCGACAACCGATTATTCAGAATGATATCTGCTGATACCAATACCAATAGCCGATTATTCGATTTTCTGCTGAAATCGATAGCTGACAGCAATATCAGCAATACCAATGACCGATTATTAAGAATGATATCTGCCGATACCGATACGATTATTCGGAATGATATTTGCCTATACCGATTATTCGGAATGATATCTGCCTATACCAATTATTCGGAATGATATCTGCCTATACCAATACGATTATTCAGAATGATATCTGCCGATACTGTTTATTCAGAATGATATCTGCTGAAATTGATAGCCGATTATTCAGAATATATGCAATACCGATAGTTTAGTTTTCTTAAGGAAAAAAAAAATCTCCCAACTAATGCTATAAACTATACAGGGAGCCTTTCATTTGGTACATCATATTAGAGCTTAAAATTAACGACAAAACTATATTCAATGCCATTTATTTTCAAATATAATCATCACACTCAAATTAAAAATTTTTGTATACAACGCAAGATAATTTTCATAAAAACTTGTTTTCATGAAAGATTTATTCAAACATATAATTAACAGCAAATAAGCTCCCTCTAGTGTTTAACTTTCCTGAGCTAAATGCAACGTTAAGTGACATTGTTCATAACCTTTTCATAACGTTTCATTTGACATTTTTTTCTGTTAAAACGCTGATTGAGGGACTACATGAGACATGATACATCACCTTCAGATGTTCATTCATTTTAATTTCGTGCGAAAAGACTCGGTGCTGCCCCTTAAACTGAAGCACTACAGCAATACGTCACGCCACATTTAAGAGCGTCAAAACGGCATTTATTGTTTGAATTTAATAATAAAATGTACATGATTTGAAAGCTGAGACTTTGTTTTTTTATCAGAAGTAACATAGCACAAAGATCTTTGCGATTATTGGATAGGAGGCGCAATACAAATAATGTTCTGCGAAATGGAAACTGGATCTGGCAACCCTGGCTTGAACTATGGGTGATTTATAGGGTTGCTGATTCAACAGCGCTGCGTTAATGCGTTATTATTGCTTTAACGTTGACAGCCCTAAATTCAACACAAGACAAGTTGCTGTCTGACATGTTTTTCTGCCACCTTTTGATTGGCTATTTTTAAATAATCGGTCGTTGGCTGATAGTGCAGATAATTATCGGCCGATACATCGGTGCATCCCTAGTTACTATTGTGGGAATTATTGTCATTGTTATTGGGAGCGCAGCTGGACCATACCATAGCCAACAATGTGGAAGATTGCAGGAAATGCGAAATGCCAGCTTGGTCTCGATAATGCGTGATTGTGCGTGAGAGGGCATTTGGTTTGTTCTCTCAGATAGACACATATTTAACTGTACAAACATTCGTATATAGGTAGCTACATACACAAACAGTTCGTATTAATTGCCTTTTGAAGTCCGGACGTCGTTCGCATGCCGTCGATATGGGAATGTTACACGACATTCCTGATGGTAAAACTCAGATTTGACTGAATTGCTCTCAGTCCCACATGGAAGGTCAAACCAGCCAGAAATGAAATAATTTAAATAAACATGAAGAGCCGTTCCCGTCTCGTTCTCCTCTTTGTTCTTTTTCCATCTTGAAGGCTGACAGCGCCAACCTGCAAAAAAAGAGAGACAAAAACATTCAACATCAGTCCTGATGTTCACTTTTAAGAACTGTAGTTTTGTCATGACAATTCTCGGAGGGATTGGCATGGTAATGTACATGACAATGTTAATGTATTTGGTCTTGGCAGAATAGATCTGCTACG